GGACATTTATGGAATTCCAATTTAGATATATGTGAATAAAGTTTTATAGGGGTGCAGCCCTGCACAATAATTTATATCGTGTCTACATGTTGTTGTGCTGCCATGGTAGAGTTGAGTCGTTGCAACAGAGAAAGGGTGGCCCACAAAGCCTAAAATAGTTGCTGTCTAATCCTTTACAGAAACACATTTGCCAACTTTTGCTAATCCCTGCATTAGAATGTGTTTGTGTGTAGGGACAGGGAAAGGGGAGAGTTGTTTTTTTTTTTTTAATGCATGTTCCCTGGTTCTATTCCAGAGGTTCTGATTGTATAGATCTATGTAGGAGAGCAGGAATCTGCATTTTTAATAAGCATCCTGGATGATATTAGCAAAAGATCTTGGGGTCACTCTGCGAGTAACATCTTAAAATCCAGATATGAGTATATGTATCACCCATGGCTATTTCCTCCTAGGCAAATAAATATTCCTTATCTCTCCAGGATATTAAGGGGGATAAGAAGATATAAATAATAAACTGTATATAGATGTTAAAAATATTTAAATAGTCCTATTTGCTAAGCCTAGGGGGCCTTTGTGCCTTTTTTAAAAAATAAACTTCCTTCCTACATACACTTGGGGAAAAAAGAAATCATTCTTTCCAAACAATATTTGTCAGAAATAATAATTCTCTTTTTCCCCAATCTCACTCAAGTTTAAATGTTTGAACAAAAAGAACATAACCAAGAATAAAAGGTGAGGGAAAAGAAACATTTCCATAACAATGTGTGTAGAGACTAACCATGCCCAGGAGGCATGCACAGCAAGAAAATGCTGTATTTAGGGATACAAAACACTTTCTGTTTCAAGCCTCAATTTTAAGACACTTGTAGGTTTTCACAATTTTTCTTCAAGGATAAAATTTCCGAGTTTATGCCTAAGAATGGCAGGGGGGATACAGCATTAGGAAATGGTTCTTTATCTGTTTCTTAACAGATAATGGGGGATGTGCGTAGAGTATAGAATATGCACAAACTAAAAGGACAAAAGAGTTGAAATGTCAGACTTAAAACTTAAATTCAGCCTCTTAGTAAGTCTTAGTACCTTTATGATAAATTTGAAAAAAAAAATGAAATAAACATGATAAATTTAAAGAATATTAATGAGTTGTGAGTCACTCAGTGGGACTCAGTGGGACTCAGTTCCGCGCTGATGGCCGACTGCTGTCAGTAGTGCATCGAACTCTCTTGGGACATTTCATGTCCTGGTTCTTGGTGTAGGGAATGTGGATCATTATGGAGTGCGGTCCAGTCTGCTTTCTCCAAGGAACCAACCCTCCCCAAGCAGATGGTCTGTGTAACAGGAGCTTCGAGCTACAGGAAAACACGTTTGAAGGCTTAGCTTGCTGAGCCCTCTCTCAGCTGCCCTGACCGCCATGCCTGGGGCCTGGTCAGCATCTCGTCTCAGCCTTGGTACCTCAGCTCCACACAGAGTGGCCTGCTCTGGCCCCAGGCCTCTCCTTTCCCTCCCGTCCCTCTCCTTCCTCTGCCCCCAAGTCTGCACATTTAGAAGAACTTGGCTGTGCCGGGACTCAAGGAGCCTTTCTTATCAACCTTCATTCCCAGGTCAGGGCTAGGAGGAGACGCTGTAAGTGTCCTTCACAGTCTCTCCACTCACGCTTGCCTTGTGAAGGCAGAGAAGCATGCATGCGCCGTCTCGGTCCCTTCTTTTTTTTCTAAACCCCTTAGTTTTCTCAGTAGCATTTGGGCAGATAGGCAGGACAAGGCTGGAACACTGACGGCCTCTCGTCGAAGAGTAAGATGCAGGGCCCTTGGGACTGGCATCTGCCTCGTCTGGTCCCCAGAGGGACGCCGACTCCCGGGCACTGGGGCTGCCGCGGGTCAGCCTGAGGACGGGTCCCCCACCACGGGGTCTGCGCCTTCTGAGTGACCGAGTCGTCCCGCAGCTCCCACGGGCGTGGCAGGGGCTTTGCTCTGTGGCGTCTTGTTCTGAGTGACCGAGTCGTCCCGCAGCTCCCACGGGCGTGGCAGGGGCTTTGCTCTGTGGCGTCTTGTCAAGCCTTTCCACTGTCCTCTGCAAAGGGTGACTTCATCCCTAACACGTATGGCCACCAGCAGGTTCAGCTGCCCCTGCATCTTCCATGGGGGGACCCGGGACTTCACCCCATCGCGCCGCACGGAAACTAAAACTGATCCGCAGCTCCGGGTCTGGAGATCGGGTCTTGGACTGAACTGCACTCCCCACGCACCCCCACCCCCACCCCCGGAGGTGTGTTCAAGTCCTTGTAACAAGGTTGGTGCGGATACAATCAGTTAAGCTAAGCTGAGCAGGGTGGGCCTTAATCCAATGACTGGTGTTCTTACAAAAAGAAGAGAGAGACTCAGACAGGCGGTGTGACAAGGGAGGCAGAGACTGGGGAGACGACGCATCTACAAGCCCAGGAGCCCCGAAGATTGTCGACCCACCCCAGGCTGACGAGGCCAGGAGGGAGCAGCCCCTGCCGAGGGAGCATGTGGCTGCGCGCCTTTACTTCAGGCTCCCAGATGCCAGACGGTGAGGCCATAAATGCCCGTTATTATTTTAAGCTGCCTAGTTGGCGGCACCTCCCTTTGCTCCAATGGCCCTGGGAACCTCGTGCAAACCCTTCCCCCATGTCGGCTGACTCTGACATGGATGCGCTCCGTGGTGGTGCAGAAAGATGCACGAGCCCTCCCAAGCCCCCCATCAGGGAGACAGCTGCAGCCCCTCTTCTTCTGGGCCCTTCCTTATGCAGCTGACCCACGTCCCTCTATCGGAGCTGGCCTCTTGGCACAGGAAACCAGGGCAGAAATAGATTAATAATCTATGATCAGGATAGTATTTGGCCCATAAGAGCCCCGCACATGGACATGACCACAGACACCCAGTAGAGTGATGCGGGGCTTATGAACAGACAGCTGTGCTGTTTTCATTCTCTGCTATTGTCCCGAGAGCACCAGCTAAGTGTGCTGCCCGAGGCAGCCCCTGAGAAGCCTGCAGAGCGTGGAGAAGCAGGTGGAGATGGCAGGGGGGCAGTTGTGGGGAATCCTGGAGGAGCGGTTTGGATGAAGGCCCCCTGTAATGCCATCACTGCCCGGTCTGGGTGACCCCCAGGGAGAGGGAGATGGACTTCACACACACCGAGCTGGCCTGTGGCACTGCCCCTGCTCAGAGCAGAATTGAAGCTTATTGTATTTGCTCTCTACTTCCACAAAAACCAGGGGTGTATAATGAGAGCCTCGGAACCTGCAGGAAAGTGCAGGGAGGATGTGGGGAGACATGTGGGGAGGGAGGCTGGTCTGCAGCCCAAACCCTGAGGACCATCCTGACTCCAGTAGGCTCTAGGAAATAAGAATATTTTCTGTTTTCCCTGTGAGATTTCCTATCTCTACTCTTGGTTAGGTGCTCCAATTCTTCAAGCACCAAGATAGGTAAGTAAATAGGTGGAGACGCATTGAGTTTTCAACACTTACTGGGAACTGATGTTTACGTACTTAAAGGAGACCTAAGAAATGTGTGATGGTCTCCATTCCATCCAACACTAAACTGTCCTTTCCCTTGGTCTTTCTATTTGCCGCTGCTGTCATCTAATAAATAAATATATAAAACTTCTATTACTGGAAAACCTAAAGGCAAAATCAGAATGCCAGAATTAGACTTCAGTGCTGAGTGCCGACATGTGTGTACTTTATGGTTCCATGCATATGTGTTCACGTGTATGTGTGTGACATGGGGACAGACACCGCAGCAGGAGACCTCACCATGAGCCCAGATCTCTGAGGCTGATGGGAACACACTGGAAAGCATTCCCTGGCTTCACCTGACATGGGAAAGAGGATGCCAAGAGATGAGCCCGTTCAAACAGAAGCCGTGGAGGACCCAAGGGGGGGAACCGTGTGCTTTCCTCTGCTGCGTCTCTGGCCACAGGGAACAAGGGGCTGTTTCCTTTGAAATCAAAATGAAAAAAAGTAAGTCAAGGGGAAAATGATCTTCCCTTGGGCTCTAATTTTTGGAATTTCTTGTCCTTAGGGCCATGATTTCTAAATGCTTTGCTGGGCATTTATTCGAATGCCAACACATATGCCAATTTTGTGAAAAAGTCATCCTTGTACAAATAGAGACAGAGAAAACTCTTTTATGATGTTACTTGTATAGAAACTAACATCCCTTACAGTGTTTTAGTAGGTTTGAACTACTGGGCATGGGGTCTGGGCACCATCTCCAACCAGCAGTGGCAAGATGCTATCCTCCTGCCGGTGGGAAATAGAAGGAAACGTATATCACAGTACAGTAAGCCACATGTATATTATATACTTGTTCTATGCCTGCACAACCTCATTATTGAATTATTTTCTTTTCTTATCAATAATGAAAAATGTATTGAATGCTTATTACATGCCAAGCCCTTTAAGTAGATGATGCATTTAAATCTAAGCAACCTTGTGTGGTGGGTGGTATTGTGAGATACTTTTTATGCAGGCAGGAGGTGGGTCAATGTATACAGCTACATGGAAGTGTTAGTGTTTAAATCCACATTTATTTGTCTTCAAACTCTCCACCACGTTTATGCTAGAACATAGGCACAGCCGAAGAATGTTATAGGGGCATTAAAGAGACAATGAAAGTGGGGGAAAATATATTTCAATGAGTCTATGATGCATATTCTGGATTCTTTCTATAGTAGTTAAAACAAAGTTTAAAAGCTCAGAAAGCTCAGTGTTTTTCACTGTTTTTTATCACAGACTCACTTTTCTCCCTCAGTCAACTACTACTTTGCTACAAAATGTATAATGAAGTGCTTTTCACCTCTTCACCCCCGCCCCCCGCAATGCCCACCCCTCACCAGGGCCCGGATACTAAACATTTATTCATGGAGAAAATACTTTAATCTGGACATTTAAATTATAGGTAAAAATTATAAACAGAATGAGACCTATAGAAAACTTTTTAGAAAGTATACCAAAATGTTCAGCTTAAGATGGATTTATTTTTAATGAAAGTAACACATCTAATGTCTTCAATAATAACAACAAAAACAAGAGCAGACACTTCGGGGCCTACAAAGCAAGCAATGGCTACTTGGCTTGCCCCCTCCCCAGCCTCCGTGCTTCCAGGGGCAACCACTTCTACATATTTTGTGTCTTTAATTTTTCTCTGGCAATCTTCATATCACTAAATATGACCATACTCTGCCTTGAGTCATCGGATGTAAGTGTCATCAATTCATTTGCACCTGTGGGTGGTGACGAAAGGTCAAGCAGCCCATGGAAGACTTCAAGTCAAACCCCAGGCAACTCCAGCCACTGCAGACCAGTGGAAAATAAAAGTCTTGTTCTGAAACTAGAAGTAAGAACATGTCTTCAGTAACCAACTGTTGTTTGTATTGCCTTAAAAACTAAGAATGTGACCTTTGGCCACTCTGAAAATTGAAGGCCATCTAGCAGTCCTTCAGGGAAGTTTAGGCCCAGGTGAGGACAAGGATCCTCGTTGAAATCCCTTTTCTTTCTACTTTGTTTTCTCTCATACCCTTTTGCTTGGCTGACTGGATAATCCAGGACTTTTTAAATTCCAGGGCATTGTATGTGCCGGCTAAGAAACCCAACACTGAAGCAAAGACTCCAGGAAGTCATTTTAAGGAACCAAGTATATTGTGTAAACAGACAGCTAGCCTGGGATTGAACACAAACACACGCAGGCCACTAATGCTTGTGTTTGCTAATGGTCTGCAGAATCTGAGCAAGGTTTCAGCTTAAACTTCAATATAGCAAAGTGACTATATGTTCACAGCAATCATGCTATTTTCTTCATTTACAAAGTGAAACTGTAAAATAAAAGGCATAGCATTTCATCTACATGAACCTACCGAAGACTAATCCTAGCATCTCTAATAAGCGAGAAAAAAAACACATGGTTTTGGAAATAGAAACTGACAAAGAGAAGTGTGGATGGATGAGAACTAAAATAGCTGAGTTTGCTGAGTACTTCCCACTACTTATTCTTGGAAACTTTGGAATTATTTATATGATCTTTAAATATTCTCAGCAGTGTCAAGATATGGCAAAGCCTAAACAGCTTTGATTTGATAGCTAAACATCACAATCAGATTTGGGTTTCTGGCAGGATTTTTAATTTTTTTTTTCTGGCAAATTGGATAATGCAGTTTAAACAGGAAAAACAACAATGAAATGACCTATCTGCGCACATTCAAGCCAATGAGGATTCAGGTTTACTGACATATGCATATATATATATATATATATATATATACATATATATATACCAGAATCTGCCACCAAAAAAGAACCTGATTGCTATGTTACTTCTCAAATCAAAACTATTTAGGCTTTGCCCTATCTCCAGACTGCTGAGAAAATTTTAAGATCCTATAAATAATCCCAAGGATTCTAAGAATAAGTACTGGGAAGTACTCAGCAAACACAACTATTTCGGTTCTCATCGATCCAGACTTTTCTTTGTTGACTTCTATTTCTATTTCTACCAAAATAAAAAAAAATAAAAGTGACAATGAACCTTTGGGTGTGTTCCCACCCCCATTCTGTTTCCCTTCAGACAAATGAGGGCATGAGGGTCTTGGGGCAGACTCAGCTTCTACTTTCCTTCATTGTCCTGCAATAAAATCGGCCTCCTCTATCCCAAATCTGCCATGAATGAGCATCATCACCCCAGAATCAGGAAAATCAGGCTTTTAAAAAAAGTTCCTGAATGCTGACTCCTTCTACATTTTCTCACCAACAGAGAGACATTAACAAATGTTTGTCCCTGTGCAATTGTGAGGATGTGCACCAACCTGTGACAGAAGGGCTGGCTGAGCTGCCACACAGACAGAGTTCCAACTGAAGGAATTCCAACTGAAGAATAAAAAAGGGCTACAGTTCATGTGATGGGGACTTTGTTAGGCAGAAAATACAATAATTTTCAATTAGCTAATGGAATTTAGAAGACACTCTATTTCTTTGAATCAGAACAAAATCTTCAACCATAACCTGGATATCATCACCAGACACACTGATATTTTCCTTCTATGATTTCTCAGCAAGTAGTAGAGTGCAGAGGAAATGATACAGTCATCATTATGGTATGTGAGTTGATTGCTACTTACTTTACAATAAATTCATTGCCAGAAAGGTTTCTGGGTGTAGTATCAATAGCTCAACTCTCATTGGTGTTACCTCATGACTTATAAACTTAAATGGAGGTAAGGTTTAAGGCTGGGTATGCTTAGCTGAGATACACCTTTTCTTGTTTTTGATTTTTTTTTTTTTAGTACTCTTTCAGTGAGAGAAAGAAAAGAAAAATCAAGCGGAAGTACTAACTCAGGTTTCAACCATGTGGACACCTAATGCAGATGACAGCTAAGCCTACTTAAAAGATGGGTCTTTCTTGTCTAAGGGCACACGTGCCAAGGAGCTTGTCAGGCCTGAATGTGGGAGCTCACTCTGTCACAGATGTGACGTGTCACCATCCTGGAACACTCCATTTTTTCTTTCATTAGCAGGGGATTGGTGAGTTCCCTGATTGAAATGACAGACAAAAGGAAAAAAAAGGTCTTTGCTTTTCTGTTACAGACGCCTCCCGCCACAGCCAGAGCACAGGCTAAGTCCTTGCAGTTAGGTGGTGCTTCCTTGTAGAAGTATTCTGTGTTCCCTGAGTGTGAACACAAGGCATCTGTCTCGGGAGTCAGAAAACTGCCGTCATGTTAGCAGTTCCCTCGTGCACTACTAAATCATTGAGAACTGCAAGTGGAAAACCTACTATCAAACGTGGGCAATGGTGTAGAAAGTGTTTACCTCGAAGCATCTGATAGAGTAAAGAAAGCTGGATTTCTCATCGAAGACTTTGCTCAAAATTGTATCTGTGTCCCTGAGGGCTGCACGACCTTGAGAAAGTCTCCTCAGCATTTAGGAACTTGGTGTCTCTTTTCTGTAGTAGGATAATAGCATCTGTCTCACCCAGGGGCTAGAAGCCTTCCGTGAGCTAATAGAAATACAATGAAGGGCCTTGGAGGCAGTTTTAAGATTCTCCAGGAACCTACATCAGATTTGAGATTCTCACTTCCATTTAGAATGTTTCTACACACTAAAAACAATGTATATGATTCCATAAGAGAGAGAAAACAGAATGGGATTCAGGTGATTAACCAGATTCAATTTCCCACAAACTAAATAACTATTCCGCTGGACACATAACTTCCTAACTAATGAGTTTGGCAATGTTTAGACACATTCACGGAGGACCCAACGAATAGCAAATGTTTACATTTAAACTCCAGAAACATCCTCTGATGGTATTTTGTTATTTCTAGCATATTTTGGAATCCTCCCTGTTGAGAAAAAGACTGGCTTTTGGAAAAGAATTTACATGGATTCCATTTCCATCGTGGCCTGCACATTTTTGCAAGTGGTTCAATCTTGTCTGTAATGATTCCATGGCTGCTACAGGACAACTTGAGAGGTAATTCAATATTAAAAATAATTGCTCTTCCTGCCACGATTCCAGTATCACAAATGATATTTTTCTCTTTATTATGTAATTAATTGCCTCAGTTCTTCATTTCACTCTGATTGAAACACTGTGAAACATCACAGCCTCAGAGAGCAAAATACAATGATTTTCCATACACCCCAAAACTGGGAGGGAGACAAAATTAAAAAACCTGTGACAAAATAAATGCCTTTCCCAGACTCAGTTATAATACATTTTTTCATGTAAACAAATATTCCTTTATATGAGATTAATACATCAGTGGTAGCAGTGACTTCTACCTTGAAGGTCTGGGGTGGCTGGGAGTGCTTTGTGCTGGGGAAAAGGCATTTAAATGGTGCTCCACCAGCTAGGGGAGGTTTAAGGGGCCTTGGAACCCTAGGTATGATCATTCTGTCACCATAATATGCGCAGTTTATGGTGGTCTGTGGGTGGTCCCACGCACTTCCAAGATTCCAAATTTCCTCTGTAAGGCAGTGACTCTCAAATCTACATACCTAGGCAGGTCTCTGTTCCGAGTTCCAGACAATACTCTAGCTCTCTGAAGGAAACACTCATTGCATATGTGCAGCCACCTTCCACCACATTCCCAGAGTTCTAGTACAACCAAAGCATGGGCCCCGGAGGCAGACTGCCTGTGTTCAAAGCCTGGCTCTTCTAAGATGCAAGCTGTGTTACCTTAGTCAAATTACCTAGCATCTCTGTTAGTAGTTTATCGGTAAAATGGGCAAAACAACAGCACACAGTGTAGAGGTATTGCAGGGTTTAGGCGGTTCATTTCTGCAAAGGGTCTAGAAGCCTGCCTGACACAGAGCGAACACTTAGTGTCAAATTCTCTTGTGATTCTTTTTCTGTGCTTCCATGAATGGCACCAGGATTTGCCCAGTGATTTATGCATAAACTTGGATTCATCTCTTGGACCAACCACTGACAGGTTCGGTGACCTTGGGCAAGTGACATAACCTCTTTGAGAGCTTTAATTTCCTCATTTGGGAAATGGACATTGGTGCGGTTTCTGACATGATTTTGTGAAATGCTCCTGGTAGAACCTTGAGGCAGGGTCTGGCTTGCAGCGGGTACCAAGTAAAGATCAGCAACTGCTACGATTGTCTTGGACTCCTCCTCTCCTTAGTTCCCATTTTGAATTACTTAGCAAGTTTTGGTGCTTCTAACCCTTAAAGTCTCTGACATATCTGACGTCATCTTAGTCTGCTCACCTTTGTCACTGTGCGTCTCCTTTGCACCCCAGCCTCGGCTCTCCACCCCTCTTCAGCTCCCCCTGGAGCGGGCTGCTCAGGCAGCCTTAGGTGCCCCTGCTCCAGTCGCCCGGCGCCTCCTCGCACATTTACTGTTGGAACAGCTGGGGAGGGGCGTGCACCTGGCGCTCTGTCTGCTCACCTGTTTCACAGGCGCCCGCAGGGGAAGCCCCAGCCCTGCACCGGTGCAAGACAGGCAGGACCCTGCGGGCGAGCCACACCAGGCCTTCCTTTCAGGTGTCTGCGCTCCATGAAATGACCGTTACTCAGAGGTTTCTCCAGCCTAGCCAGCAGTTGTGTATGGTCCAATCTAACACACAGAAGAAAATAGAAATCTTCCATTATTTTCAGGTTGAAAAATGAGAATTCACCTATTCCTCTGGCGATTGTAAGTGTCTCTGAGGGTGGTGATCGGGAAGCTCCAGGATTCTGCTTCACTCCTCACTGCCAGGGTTGGTTCTTTCAGGAGCAATCACCCTCCCCAGGTTTCAGATCCTCTCCTCCGAGCGACCTGCGGACAGCACGGGCCTGCCTCCCCCGCCTGGTGCCTGTGCAGCACGGGGCCCCTGCCCCCCCAGCGGGGGTCTCCCTGCCGCTCCTCTAGGCCCCTCACACAGCAGCGGGGTCCTGCTCGCTTCTGCAGGGCCGGAGCCTGGGAAAGTTCTGGCAGGTGGTAAACTACCAAGTTAACACAGGCAAATGAGTCTCCCAAACAAATGTGCCGGGAAGCACGTGAGGATATCCGAGCGACCGTTTTCTTGATTGTTTCAGATTCTGTGGGATGCAGCCTGACCTCGAACAGAGAATCAAGACATTTTTAGAGAGAGTGTCGTGCGCTAAGTCCACTCACACTAAGGTCACTTGGTGGCATAGTGGTAGATAGCTACGAAATATGTTTTTAAATGCTTGAAGTAAAAGTTCCAAATAGTTTTGAGTAAATAATTGACTCTTTAAGGATATGAGGATCTACAGGGACAGTGGGTCCTTTGGAAACACTTTGGGCTTTCTTCCTATGATTCATTTTCCAAAAGATTAAAGTCGCTCCTCCCAGCTCAGCCTCTGTTTACACCCCCGAGACCTGGTGCACTCTTTGTTACCCAGAGCTGCACCCTTCTGAAGGCAACATGCCAAAGAAAAAAGATCTTTTTTTATTTGTTCTTGTGGTTATGTTTTGGAGAGGCCCTTATTAATATTATTTTTTTTACCCTTTGTCCACATTTGAAATACAATAACGGCAACAGTGGCCAAGCTGATAAGAAGGGAAACCTTGTAAAAGTACAAACCTTGAACAAGAAAGGAAATGACCAAATAGAGAATGTTCATTCTCCTAAAATTAAAAACAGCCTGAAATTAAAGCAGCATGCCCGGAAAGCCTCCTCTAGTTGTTTTAATTGACTTTCAAAGACAGCAAAGAGCCGATCCTGTGAGTAGAGAAGAGCAGCCACCTTCTGCGCCTTGCCTAGACCCGGAGGAGCTCCTTGGTCCCTCAAATGCCATCCGCGTGTGGTCTCAAAGTGTCCTCCCAAGTCCAGGGTTTCTTCCTCTGTTCTCTGGTCCTTTAAAGAGAGTCACAGACCAAGTCCCACTTTGAATTGCAGGGCTTGTTTAAAAATGCAGACTAAGCTTTGATAAGGAACTTTGGCCTCCCTTGAATGGAAAGCCTAAGACTGGCTTGTTTTCCCGTTGAGTGGTGGGGTGAGGATGGGAGAACAAAGGAAGCAGGGGGCAAGTTCGGGGCAAATGCTGGAACTTCAGCCAGTGGGTTGTGTGTCTCTGGGGCTCCTGGCCTGAGGGCAGGGGCGGGAAGGCAGCCCAGGGGTTCCTTCCTTTGGGCGAGGGGAGTAGATAGACTTCGTATCCGGATGGCCCATCACGGTTCCCTTACTTCAAGGAGTCTTGCCTTTGTGTCTTTCAATCTTCCATTCCCTTCTTAGATTAACTATATGACAATAAAATCAAACTGCCAAGAAATGTGGATTGTTTCTGCAAACATCAATTGACCTTAGTCATTCAGAAGATGTGCACATCAAATTTCACCTCCTTTTCTCCATTTTCTTGATTCCTGCAAACCCAAGTGATGAAGTCATTGGCAAAGTCATCAGCTGAGCTGCCATGGTAATATTCTCATCACTTTCTAAACTTTTCAGGAAAAAGATGCTAGAGTTTCAGCGATTGTAGTTGCTGGATGCTTAGCATCCATGAAGGAGTCAGCTGCGTCCCAGCTGAAGAAGCGCATGGAAGACACGCACCACCTCACCTTAATCCAACAGGTCTAGCTTAAGAAACATGAAACTTTGCATTTGCTGAGTCTCTTTCCAAGTAGACAGAACTTTTCGAGTGGACAGTCTTAGTCAGCTAAGGCCGCCGTAACAGCTTACTAGCCAGTCATTTCTCCTAGTTGTAGTGGCAAGAAGTCAAAGAGCAAAGTGCCACCAGGTTTGGTCCTCGGTGAGGGTGCACTTCTGGTTTGCAGACGGCAGTCTTCTTGCCATGTTCTTACATGGTAGGGAGAGAGCAAGTCCTGGGGTGTCTTCCTCCTCTTACAGGGCACTCATCCCATCACGGGGGTTCTACCGTCATGACCTCATCAAAACCTAATTACTTCCCAAAGTCCCCACCTCCAAGTATCGTCCCATTAGGGGTTAGCCTTAGGGCTTTAACATATGAATTTGGGGAGGATAAACATTCAGTTTATAATACAAATCATAATCAGTTTCTGGAAATCCTTATTAAATTAGCTACTAATAAAAACACAGTTAAGCTGATCCATTTCCATAAAGACAAGATTTCATGTGGGCTCTTTTAGTAAATGAACCTCCCGCTCTATTTCCTGGTCAACCCTAAAGACAGTATGTTTAAAGCTTACAGCTTTTCCAGTAGTTTTTAATTTTTCTATAGATTTCTTTAAAAGTGGACTTAAATGTAAATGTGATTACACCTTTGCAGATCCTTTGCCAGTACCAAAGATAGGATTGTCTAGAAGCTGGAATTCCTTTTGTTCCACTTCATTTGTAATCACAAACTGCAGCCTGACAAGAAGAAAATAGTTATGTTTGTTCAGGCAAATAACCTGGCCGGGAACACGTCCCTAATGCCGAGGCTGTACTCTCTACAACACGGTGATAAGGAAATTATTATGTTCTATACTTTCTCATGCACTATGTTTTTTGCCAGAAAAAATACCTGGGTTCTATGTGAATAATTCAACATATTATATAGCCTCTTCTATTTCGGTGGCCAAACTCAAAAGCAATTTGGCAAAACGACGACTCTTCTTCTACCTGCTGGCAAATCGAAGGGTGGAATATTAGCAGAGCAACAAAGAGACCTTGCTGATGGAGGGAAAAGTCCATTTCAGAGAATCACTGTATTTTGTGATCTGTGGTGTTTCCCACACCGGGTCACTGAGTGACAAGATAAGACAGGCCAGGAAGCAAGAGCTTTTAGAAGGATTTTCTCAGGCTGTAGGAAGGGCTTAAGGCCCCTAAAACTAACAAGAATATGTTAAGTTCTATTTGGGGTAATTGGGGTAAACATCCCCTTAAAGGATTTCTTGCCAGAAGTAAGGCAGTCAACACATTTCAGAGCACTTTTCTGAGTCCCAGTGCGCCACCAAAGTGGTACCAGCATCAACAAGGCGATCCCAGGAGAGGGTTCACTGTGAGCCCACAAAGGCCAAACAAACACCAGGTCCCAAAGTCACGACGATAATGGCTGGGTTTAGAGCTGGAAGGTCTTTACATTTATCAGGGGTTTTTGTTGCCTTAAGCATTTACCTTTGTATAGTAAAACTTCACTCTGTTAAGAAATTCATTCTGCACAAATATTAGTAAAGATTAAAAATTTTTTTCAAATAACATTCGGTGAATCAGCCCATAAATGACTGGAAAGTTAGCTTAACTGCAAGTCCTGGGTTATTTTAACAGATACAATTAATGTGGCCCCTAGTACCAAAAAGGGAAGAAGCTCCTTCTAGGCAGTGTGACTTGCAAATAGAATTGTGCTAAGTGACAAAATCACAAATAAGTAGTAGGCAAAGCAATTGTTGAGTAGTTACATTCACTTGCGAGTTTAAGGCACTTGCAATCCAGTATTTCAATGAGAATAGGATAATAAAGAAAATGATGTTTCCATAATTAAACTGTTATCCACTGAACATGTTATTTAGAAGATTTAAACATAAAGTCATATTGTAACTATACTTTTTAAGTGATCTCTGATTACATAGGAGAACAAAGTATTGCAGCCAAGTACCATGTTGTCCTAGAAACAAAATATCTGCTACATCCGGCTTAGAACATGAAATAATTAATAGCTATGATCTCAATTTTACAAAGCATTATTATTTATATTTTGCCTAAAAGAGAGTGTTTTGTGGAAACTTGTTTACAAAACTGCAAGCAGCTCTATATCGCTGAAACTAGGTAAGAAGTAACTTGCCTCTGGCCACTTACAGTAACAGTTCTCAAAAGAAGGAAACCCAGGAATCCTACATTAATTTTTCCTAAGTTTATTTAGATGATATTTATAATAAAGTCAGACAAATATTATTGTGTAATTTAATTAAGACTACCTATAGTCAAACCTTTACAGCCAAATTTGAAATAGTCGCTAGCCATAAAGATATGGAATGTGGTTGATTAGAAAATAAAATGAGACCCAAAATGTATGTTTTTGATGTCATGATAATAGAAAAGAGAAAGACTGGATCATGAATGGTCTTCAAATGGAAACCAACAATTATGAGACTTGATGTTAATTAGGATCAAGATGGCTTTAAATTTGTATAGTACTTTTCTAATCATATTATCAAATTTAAGTGTTATTAGACTGAATGTATCATCACTAAACTTCCTCGTAAGCCTGTATTCTCTCTCATTTTGTGGTACAACCATCTACTCATAATCTCGAGCAATAAACCTATACTCTTTCTTGTCTTCCTCCCATCAGTCTCTGTATCTTCCCTCCAAAATATTGGTCACACTCATCGTCTCCCTATCCCACTCCTACACTGTCTTGGTGCAGCTCTCAGCCTGGTAATCGCTGCCTGAGCATACTTACTGCACCTCTGCCTCCAGCTTTGCCCACCCTAATTCCATCCTCCTCAAAATCACAGTCCACTGAATCAGAGCCACAGAAGGTTGGGTGGTCCCAAAGCATATAGCTCCCGGAGCCCACAGGATGCATCTCTCTAAACCTTGCTGTCCTTCAAGCACATTCAGGACACGGTCCCAGCTCTTTGACTCCTCATATGAAACTTTCCATGACCTGTCTGCAGATATCTGCCCTTTGTCCCAACTGGCTGATCCACGTGCATTATTTCAGGAGAAATAATTATTCCTTGTTCTGGTTGGGTTCAGCTAATAGGGAAAATCTAGAGGCCAGGCCATCTGCAGGAAGGAGAGAATGTAATGTCAGAGCCGCCCCCACCTAGGTGCATTCCCACCTCACCCTCCTCAGTGGGGGACTCTCTTCTGTCAGTGCCCTCTGCACAGAGCCCTCTGTCTCCAGAATGCAGTGGCTCTCCATGCCTAGAGGCAGTAGCAGTGCCCTCCTTCCCGTGTCTGCCCTGCTGTGGTTTCCTGGGCCTCTTCCAGCATCTGTGCACCTAGTTGCTTCAGCAAACTGCCGACCTGGTATCCTTGGGCATTGCTAAGGGCTCGC